CGCCGAAGCCGCTCACCTCGGGCACGCCTTGCCACTGCTCTCGCTGAGCGGCATATACGGCCTCGAGCCAGCCCCGGCGCATCTCGCCCTCTCCCCCTCCCACCCCTCCTCGCTCGGCTCGCCGCCCACTCGACGGCTCCGCCTCGCCCTCGCACGCCCAGAGCAGCTCGCCCACCCTCGCCAGCTAGAGCACAACACGCAGGCAGAGCCTCGCCGCCTGCCGACCATGCTCGACTGCCAGCTCGAGAACGAGGGCAACCCCGACGCCCGCCGCAACAGGGAGCGCATGCGCATAAAGGGCTTCCGCGAGCACATGGAGATCCAGCGCGTAAAGCAGCTCGACAAGCAGGGACCCGACAGCTGGTTCGTCCGCAAGGTGCGCTCCCCCTTCCTCCCACCACCCGCCGAGCCCACCTGACTCTTGTCCTCGCCCCTGGTCGCAGTTCGCCGTCGGCATCGTCGCCGCCGTCTTTGCCTACTCGTACTACGTCTACGTCGTCCGCCTGTGCATCCCGATGGTCCGCATGGACGACTCGCGCCTCGGGGCGAGGGCTCAAGGTCGTACGTCCACCTCCCACCTCCTCCCTCTTTCCTCTCCTCGGCAGCTCTGACCTTGCCCTTGCGCCCAGTCGCCTATCTCGTCATCTACCACTTCCTCTTTGTCATGTTCGTCTGGTCCTACGTCGTCGCCGTCTACACCCAGCCGGGTTACGCGCGAGATGTCCGTCCGCCTCTTTCGTTCCTCTCGCCGGACTCGCCGGCTGACACGCCTCGCGCCCTTGCAGTTTGTCCCCAAGACCGGCCCGCCTCAAGCCGAAGAGCGCTACATCGACGTCGTCGCCGGTCAGCCGTTCGAGCAGCAGCAGTCGGAGGACCGCACCTTCCACCACGCTCGGCGAGGGCGGCGCGAGTCGGTTGAGGGGGACAGTGCGGCGGGCATGGACGAGCGCGAGAGCGTGCAGGAGGGGACCGAGACGGACACGATTGAGATGCGCGAGCGCAGGCGGCGCTCGCTCGCGCCGAGCGCCGCCGACGAGGAGGACCGGCTCGCCCAGGAGGACGGCGGCACGGCGGCGCTCGGGCCCGACATCGCGTCGGCCATCCTCCAGGGCACACGGCCGCCCTCCCTCAACGCCGCCGTGCCGCCTCTCGACCAGGACGAGCGTGACCGCTGCCAGTCGACCGCCTCCACGACGCTCGGCCCGTCCTCGGACCGCTCGGCCCTCGCCTCCCCGCCCAAGGCGCACCTCCGCGCCCGCACCCCTACCCGTCCCGAATCTTCGCCCGACGGCGCTCTACCTCGACCCTCTCGCTCGTCCGGCGCGCCCTCGTACCTCGCCTTTCCCGAGCCGCCCGACGACTACGAGCCGCCCAAGCGTTTGCCCGTCGAGCGCATCCCGCGCAACGCGCCCGTCTTGACCGAGCAGTACCGGTACGACGCGCGAGAGGGCCTCGTCCGGCCGTACCGCAGCCACCGGTGCAGGCACTGTGCGGCCGTCGTCCTCAGTGCGTTCGAGCCTCTTCTTCTTTTTCTGTCGAGGTTCCTCGACCTGACGCCCTCGCTCGCCTGCAGAGATGGACCATCACTGCCCTTGGGTCGGCACCTGCGTCGGCGCGCACAACTACAAGTACTGTGAGCCCGTCCCTCGTCCCTCGTCTCGCGAGCCCCCGCCTTTGCGTCCTCTGACTCGTTCCCCGTCGCCCGCACCGCCCGCCACAGTCTACAACTTCCTCCAGTACTCGTCAACTTACACCCTCTTTGTGTGGCTCACGCTCGTCATCGCGCAAACCCTCCCGCTCGGCACCTTCTCGCCCTCGACCGGCCGGCCGTACCCGGGCGTCGACGGGCAGCAGGTCGCCATCATCGCGCTCGCGTTCCTCTTCTGGCTCTTCACGTTCGCCCTCTTTGCCGCACACACTCGCCTCGTCCTGCGCAACATGACGACGATCGAGGAGATCGGCATGAACCGCACCAAGCAGCGCGAGCGGGCGGCGCTCAACCAGCACTACGGCTTCTGGCAGTTCAGGTGCGTCCTCTCTCTCTCTCGTCCGTCTCATTCTCGTACTCTTGACACTGACGAACACCGTGTGCGCGCAGGGCAAAGAGGGCCAACCGGCGCGAGTGGGACAAGCAGTGGGGGAACATCGCGACCGAGGGCAACCTGTGGTGGCTCGGGTCCAAGCGCGCCAACTGGGAGATGGTCATGGGGATGCACAAGCTCGGGTGGTTCTGTGCGTCGCCCGTTCCTCCCTCTCTCGTCCGTCGGCGCCGCCGTCGGGCAGCCCTCGCTCGGTCGAGCGACACTGACTCACCCTCCTCGCCTCGCAGTGCCCATCTCGGCGAAGCCTCGCGGCGACGATGGGCTGAGCTACGTGCCCAACCCGCGATTCAGCGACAAGGGCGAGTGGAGGATGCGGCGCGAGTGGCCCAAGGAGTTGCAGTGAGCGGGTCGTTGCAGCTCTCCCTATCCTCACAGAGACTCTCGCCTTCCTTTTTGTTGTCCTTCTACTCGCACCTGCAACACATCCTGCTGCTTCGCAACCGAGCGGCGAGAGAGAGAGTGGCTGTGGTCGGTGCCGAGGCTGGTCGTCTGGTTCGCCTCGAGGCTCTTGCTCGTCACTCGCTGTGCCTCGCCCAGATCGCCTGCTGCGATCGAGTGCGCGCACCAGCTCTGCAGCTACAGCAAGCAGCAGCGCACCCGCACGCCGTCTCACGAGCAGGCGTCGAGCCCGCTCATCGTCCCCTGCGAGCAACGGCGCGTCCTTCGACGGCAGCATGTCGACGCCCGTCGCACGCTCGGTCCTGACCGAGCCAGGTCCACTCGGTCCCGCCCCCGACACCGCCACCGACCCCCAAGACGCCTCCCTCGCCCCCCTCTCCTCGTCCCCCCACTCGCCGCCGTCCGCTTCCTCCGGCCCGCTCTCGTTCAAGCGCCGCGCCGCCCAGGCGCGCTCGGGGCGCGACAAGAGCTCGCGCGGCGGTATCCTCGGCAGCATCCTGTCGCGGTCCAACGACGACGACGACCAGCACGACATGGTGCCCAACCCGCCGACCCTTCGACGACCCGACGCGCCCTCGCACATCGCGCTCCCGCCTGGCTCGCACGTCGGCGAGTCGGCGGCGTACCGTCGAACAGGAGCGAGCGACGAGGAGGACGACGACGAGCTGTCGCCGGGAGCGGGAGGCGCGCTCGGCGGCAAAGGCTGGAGGCGACGGCTCCCGAGTGCGGCGGCGCAGCGACGCATGCTCTCGGCGAGCGCAGGAGCGGCAGGAGGAGGTGCAGGGCCGAGGTCGCGCCGCTCGACGGGCGCGAGCGCGTTCCTGTCGCCGTCCAAGGAGCCCGGCATGCTGTCGCCGACCTACTCGCCGAGCGCGAGAGGCGGCGACGGCGGCGGCGGTGCAGGAGACGGCGCGTTCCCGGGCGATGCCGGTCCCATCGTCGTCACGCCGCTGCCCAAGATCCCGATCTTCGTCCTCAGCATCTGCATGCTCGGCGAGTTCCTCTCGGCGTCCGTGTGCTCGCCGTTCCTCTTCTTGTGCGTCCTCCTCCTCCTTCCTCCTCCCTTCCCCTCCCTCTCTATGATTCATCGGGCGCACAGAGCCTCGACGAGCAGGACTAACGCCCACCGCTTCTTCCTCGCAGCATGGTCGAGAGCTTTGGCGTCGGCGAGAACGGCGGCGGCGAGTCGGCCGTCAGCCTGTGGACCGGCGTCGTCGCGGCCGTCTTCTTCCTGTCGCAGTTCCTCACCGCCATGATCTGGGTCTCGGTCGCCGACAAGCACGGCCGGCGCGCCGTCCTGTGCGCGTCGCTCCTCGGCAACGGCCTGACCGTCATGGCGTTCGGCACGTCGAGGAACCTCGGCACGGCCATCTGCACTCGTCTCGCGATGGGCTTGTTCAACGGCGCCGTCGGCGTCGCCAGGAGTGCCGTGCAAGACGTCACGGACGAGTCGAATCGGTCGACCGCCTACACCGTGAGCTCCCCTCGTGCTCCCTCCTCTCCTCTCATCAGTGTACTGACCGTGTCTCCCAAACAGATCCTCGGTCTCTTGTGGGGCATGGGCGGCATCGTCGGCTCGGTCCTCGGCGGCACCCTCGAGCACCCGGTCGAGAAGTACCCGCGCTACTTTGGCGACTCGCACCTGTTCGCCGAGTACCCGTACCTCCTGCCGTGCATGGTCGCCGGCTCGGTCACGCTCTTTGGCGGCGTCATCTCGCTCGGCCTGAACCGCGACGGCGGGCAGCGCGAGGGCGGCATCCACCTCCCGACCGAGAAGGACGTCGAGGTCGCAGCCGGCACCCTCGCCCGCATCAAGGACTGGTTCCTCGCCCGCACCTCGTCCCTCCTCGCTCGACTGCCACGTCGTCCCCCTATCCACCTCGCGCACAGCTCGGGCGCAGTGTCGCTCCACCCTTCCTCGGCCGACGTCCCTCCTCTCCCTTCCCCCGCCGAGTCGCCCGAAATCACCGACGACGCAGGCCGAGGCCGCGAGCCCTCTCGCCACCAAGGGTCGGCCTACGGCTACGCGAGCAGCCGGCGAGCGAGCCAGGTCAACTTTGAGCGCGACTCGGGCCTGCGCATCCCGTCGATGCGCCGGCGAGGGTTCCGCTCGACCTCGATGGCGACGACGAGCCGGTACGACGCCGACAGCGAGGTGCCGCACTCGTTCGCCGAGCGGCTCCTGCTCGCGCAGAACCAGGCCGTCTTCTCGCTCAGCGACGTCTTCCTCGCCAAGGCGGCCGCCGATGACGACTTCCACGCGGTCGAGTACGACGGGTCCGTCTTTGAGCGCGACGACGACGAGGAGTCGCGCATCGAGGGCGTCGACCACGACGGCGCCAACTCGGAGTACGAGGGCGTCGGGTTCGGCACGGCGCCGCCGTCGATGGACGACCTGCGAGGCGAGGCGGCGCGGCAGGCGGCGCAGGCGCCCGTGCCTCCTTTCGCCCGCCCCGGCTCGCCGTCGCACTCGCTCGCGCCGCAGCAGCAGCCACGTGCGCCTAGGCGCGGCACCCTCCTGTCGCCGACCCGGGACCGCATCGTCTCGCACGCGACCAACCCGTCCCGCCAGCGTCGCGTCTCGACCTCGTCCTCGGCCCGGCCCATGTCGATCTACGACAACTCGGGCCTCGCGCCCGAGACGATCGCGTCGGCGGCGGGTCAGCTCGTCGCGCAGCATCAGCAGCAGCTCTCGGCGCCGACGACGCCGGACGAGTCGCGGTTCTCGCCCATGGCCGCCATCCCCGAGACGAGGGCGGCGAGCATCATCGAGCACGGCGCGTCAGACGACGACGCCTCGACCGTCATCGACTATGGCGGCGCCGGTGTCGGCGGCGGCCCGAGCGCTGCTGCGGGCGACGTCGGCTCGGGCGCCAACTCGGTCGTGTGGCAGCTGCCGCTCGCCATGATCGCCCAGTACCTGTGCGTCGGCATGCACGGCACGGCGTGCGACCAGATGTTCACGTCCTTCCTCGTCACGCCCATCGCGAGCGGCGGCCTCGGACTGTCGGCCGACCACTACGCCGCCCTCGTCGCCACCATGTTCTTCTTCTCCCTCATCTGGCAATTCCGCTTCTACAGCGCCGTCGGCCCGCCCAACGGCTCGCTGAGCCACCTCTCGATGTGCGTCCCTGTCCGCTTCCTCTCGCCCTGGAGGACTGTCCTGACGGCCCCCTCCTTCAGGTTCCGCCTCGGCTTGATCCTCTACGTGCCGGTGCGTTCCTCCCTGTCCTCTCTCTGCGATACAGCACTGACCCTCGAGCGTCCCGCAGGTGTACCTCCTCTTTCCTGAGCTGCGCGGCCTCGTCGGCGACGGCGACAAGGTCGGCCTCGTCATGCTCGGAATGATCGTCCTGTCGGCCATCCGCTACCTCGCCAACGCGTGCGCCTATACTGCGGTAGTGCGTCGGCCTCCTTCGCGCTCGTCCTCGCCGAGATGTGCGCCTGACAGCCCTCGAACCCTCGCAGATGGTCCTCATCAACGTCATGACGCCGCCGGAGCTCGTCCCGCTCGCCAACGGTCTCGCCCAGTCGTGCATCTCGCTCGCGCGCTTCATCGGTGCGTCCAGACTCTCTTTGCCCGGCTCAGACTGGGCCTCCTGACCTTCTCGTTCCCCGGCAGGTCCGCTTCTCGGAGGATCCGTCTTTGCCGCCTCGATCGCCGACCCGGCCAATGCCCACCCTTCCGCAGGCTTCCACCTCATTGCCGTGCGTCGGCCTCATCCTCTCTCGCCTCCCTTGACGAGGTCAGACACTCACGAGCGCTCGACTCGCCCGCAGGCCTTGTGCTTCTTCGGCTTTGTTCTCAGCTGGCGCATCAAGTAGACGGCGCACGCGCCCTTTCCTCTCCTCACTCGTACACGTATCTGTCTCTTGTTGCTCCCTACTCCCCCTCCTCGTAATAGCATCCCCTCTTTCTCGCGCCGTCGAGCCCTTTCCGTGACAGCCCGGCATTTGCAACTTCTGCATGTCTACCAGATCTACCTTTCCACGCGTGCAGGGCGGGCAGGTCGTCGCAGGCAGTCGCAGCCTGTCGAGAGCCGGGACTGAGGGCGACGTTGGGCGTGCAGCGAGCGAGCGAGGGAATCGCTGGCTCGAGAAAGTGGCGCGGGCCGCACATTCCCTTCGCACCGGCGTTGTGCTCGTTCCTGTCGCATGAGGTCCTCGACTCGAGGCGGAGAGAGTGCTACTGAACAGGTCTGTGCCGCAGCCGACGCGATCCAGTGGCAGGAGAGAGAGACAGAGAGCTGCGCTCGGCCGCTTTCGACTTGAGAAGGCCCGCTCGGACCTTTGTTGCAGCTGCGTTCATAGTGCGCTCTGCCTGCCGAGTGCGCCAGTGTTTCGATCCATCGATAGAAACGTCGTTGGGCAGGAGAAACACCAGAAGGGGGAGAGCTGAGGACGACCAACGCTTTCCTTCCGACCTTCTCAACTCGAGTTGCCAGCTGCGAGGCCTCCAGCACGGCGGCCCGGGCGCGCCCGAGGGCGACGAAGTGACCGTGCCGTCGCGCTCAATAGACCTGTCGAGCTCTCGTGCTCAGAGAGAGAAGAGGGGAAGCTGGCGTCGAGAGAGTCTGGCTTTCGCGGACGGACCGTCGCCCTGGTCGGCCGCTCTGCTTCAGTCGGCGGGCGCGACGTCTTGCAACGTCAAAAGGCGTCGCTCTGCAGCAAAGGAAGCCATCAGCAGGGTACGGCGAGGCAAGGGAGCTGGCCTTCAAGGATGCCACCTCTGGACGGACGGACCGTCGCCGGACCGACCGCGGACTTTCCGGTCGACCTTCTACGGGTCGTAGGCGGCAAAAGAGGACACCACAGGGTATCGGGGGACCGCTACGGGGCAAAAGAAGAGGTACGACAGGGATTTGAACCCTGGAGCCCGAGGGGCAGTGGCAGACAACAGAGGCAAGCTCTCGTAGTAAACCGCCGGAATAACCACTATCCGACCGTACCGAATTGACTATCCGTCCATTTCTGAAGCGAGGCCGGGTAGCAAGCGGACACACCCCGTACAAGCGTTTGCGGGGTCCGTGCGTCGTTCGTAGCTCTCGCAGCGTCTTCTCGTACGTGTGCGACCAGACCTCGGTCGAAAGCGGCGCACTTTGTCGTGCTAGGCGTGTTTGAGGGTTACCGGCGAAGCTGGACCACGTAACGCTCTGCGCGCCGACCAGGACTCCTCCTTTCGAGCTGCGAGCACCGCAACCCTCTCCCGACCTCGAGTCGCTCGTGCTCTCCTGCTCCCGCACGGCACCTATGTAGCCATTGCGGTAGACAGGTCACTGCTAGAAGGGCCGCGGCAGGCAAAACACGCTTGTCACCTCCGCTGCGAGAGCGGGTCTGTGCGTCGCGTCGTCCGTGGCTCAGGGTGAGAGCTGTTCTAGCTCCTTGCAGTGCCCCGAGTTCTCGCTCGAGTGGCTCGACTCGAGCTCAGTACAGTGCTCGACAGGTCTGCTTACGACTGAGAGAAAAAGAGTAGCAATTGAGAGACGTCCGTTTCTGCAACTCGAGGTCGCTCCTTTCCCAGCCTCGACAACCTCGTCCAGGGGCAAGCGAGGCTGATGCTCGGGAGCTTCGTTCGAGCCCGGCTGTACGCTCACGACGATCCTCGACGTGGAAGACCTCGACCGTCGCCCGCCTGCTCGTCTTCTCTCGCGCGCGCGCTCGAACCCCTCCTCCTCTTGCGCGAGCGCCATTCCTCGACCTCGACCTCGAGCGACCTGCTTGTCTGCAGACCCTGCTCGCAGGCTCTCGCTCTCGAGTGCCTCTCGCGGCCGCTCGAACGGCTGGTCGGCGACTTTCCTCGCGCTCTTCCCGAGTCGCTCACCGTCTCGCTGAACTCTGCCTTGTACCTCGTCGGGCCATGGCGTCCTCGCCGCTTCTCCTCGCTTCTTTCTGCACGTGCTCGATACTCGAACGAGCGCAGGCGAGGACGTGCGCCGAGACTCTCTCTCGCGCCCGGCTCGACCGAATCTCTCTCTCTCTCTCGAACTCGAGCCTGGAGGCGACCGGAGGAGCATCTCGCACTGTAGGCGAAACGCTGACTAGGGAAACGCGCTCGATTGCACCGCAGAGACATACTCGTCCGATCTACCGCAAGCTGAAGCGCCCGAATCGTCTGAATCGAGAGACAGCGTTCCGTTCGAGAGAGGGTGCGCAGGATCCCCTTCTCGGTGGCAGAGACGCGAGCGCAGCTATGCGAGCGGCTCATCGAGGTGCGCCCGCTGCTCAGAAGCACGAGTAGGCGGGCGCAGCCTCGTCAGACCCGGCCTCAGCAGCTTGGCTCGTGCGGCCGCCGGGGCGAGCGACAGCACCGTGGCGGGCGGCTTGGTCGCTCCATGACCCGCCAGGCCATACAGGAAGCAGGTCGGCGACGACTGACGCCATCAGGGAGGACGGGAAAGGTGCGAGGGGGAAGGTTGGAGAGCCGAGAAGGAGGAGCTGCCGTCGCGGGCGCACACGACCTGCTGTGCGAGACCAAGAGGGTCAACGCGGCACACATCGAGGAGCACAGACCGAGGTGCAGGTAGTGGCATGGCGCAGAGGAGCAAGCGGGACGGACCAGGAGCTGAACGTGCCCGCTCGAGGTCGAGAGCCGTCCTGCGCCGCCCGACACGCCCGCCCGACCGTCGTACGCGACCGCTCCACCTGCGGGAGGATCATGTCAGTACATTGTTGCACGATCGGGGGCTCGCGCGAAGGCAACGAGTGCATGGCAAGAGGTGGAGAGGGTCGGAATGAGGAGAAGGAGAGGACGAAGGCGCACCGTTGTGTGCTTGCCGCAAAGCCCGGGCACCGTGTCGCAAGCGCACCCCGAGTCTCCCTGATCCATCGACGAAGGCGTGCACGCGCTCGACCGGCGTCGGCCCGCGTCGAGGCGGTCGGTCGAGCGACGAAAGCGGCGAGGCGACGAAGCGGGGAGATTGCTGCACACACCAGCCTCGCCATGCTCCGATCAGCAGCCAGGACAGCACACAAGCACTGCAGCTTGCCAGCAGCAGCGCTCCCGCGGCCTCGAGCGCGCGCGCCGGTCGTCTCGACCTCCGCCTCCTTCTCCTCGTCAGCTCATCAGCGACTCGCACCCACCTCGACCGCAACCTCCCTAGCCGGCTCGAGCAGCACCAACACCATCTCGCAGGCCGAGATCGACCATTTCTCGGCCCTCGCCGCCAACTGGTGGGACCCGACCGGCGAGTTCGGCCTCCTGCACCGCATGAACCCGGCCCGCATCGACTTCCTCCGCGACGAGCTCCTCCGGGTCGACGAGCTTGACGGCGCACAGTGGCTCGACGGTCGCCAGGTCCTCGATGTCGGCTGTGGCGGCGGCATCTTTGCCGAGGTGCGCCCGCCCGCTTCTCCTTCCCCTCCCTCCTCCTCGCCCGCCGAGCTGACCCTACCCTCGCACGCAGTCCCTCACTCGCCTCGGCGCCGACACGACAGCCATCGACGCAGCCGGCCAGAACATCAAGATGGCCCAGACCCACGCCGCTCTCGACCCGTCCCTCCACGTCCTCAATTCGCCCATCCCCTCTCGCTCCTCTCGCTCCACTTCGTCGCCGCGCAACACGCTCGAGTACCGGCATTGTGCCGCCGAGGACCTGGTGCGCGAGGGCAAGCAGTTTGACGTCGTGTGCGCGATGGAGGTCGTCGAGCACGTCGAGGACCCGCGAGGCTTCCTCGAGTGCCTCATGCAGCTCACCAAGGTGCGCACACTCTCGCCCTCTCTCTCGCGCCGTCTACTTGTTTCTCACTGACGCTCGTGCGCCGCCTGCAGCCCGGCGGACACCTCCTCCTCTCGACCATCTCGCGCACCCCTCTCGCTCGCCTCCTCACCATCACGCTCGCCGAGGACGTCCTCCGCCTCGTCACACCGGGCACCCACACCTACCACAAGTACATCAAGCCGCAGGAGCTCGCCGACTTCTTCGCCGAGAAGGGCTGGGTCGGGTTCGAGACGAGGGGATGCCCTTACGACCCGCTCACGGGCAAGTGGCGACTGCTCGGCCTCGGCGAGGTCGGCGGCATCGGCCAGCTCGTCAACTACTTTGCGAGCGTGCGCAGACCTCTGCAATGAGCATACCGTGCTCGTCGCAGCTCCCGTCTTCAGCGAGAGCTTTGCAGCGCAAGAAGCGCGAGGAAAGTCGCCGACCAGCCGTTCGAGCGGCCGCGAGAGGCACTCGAGAGCGAGAGCCTGCGAGCAGGGTCTGCAGACAAGCAGGTCGCTCGAGGTCGAGGTCGAGGAATGGCGCTCGCGCAAGAGGAGGAGGGGTTCGAGCGCGCGCGCGAGAGAAGACGAGCAGGCGGGCGACGGTCGAGGTCTTCCACGTCGAGGATCGTCGTGAGCGTACAGCCGGGCTCGAACGAAGCTCCCGAGCATCAGCCTCGCTTGCCCCTGGACGAGGTTGTCGAGGCTGGGAAAGGAGCGACCTCGAGTTGCAGAAACGGACGTCTCTCAATTGCTACTCTTTTTCTCTCAGTCGTAAGCAGACCTGTCGAGCACTGTACTGAGCTCGAGTCGAGCCACTCGAGCGAGAACTCGGGGCACTGCAAGGAGCTAGAACAGCTCTCACCCTGAGCCACGGACGACGCGACGCACAGACCCGCTCTCGCAGCGGAGGTGACAAGCGTGTTTTGCCTGCCGCGGCCCTTCTAGCAGTGACCTGTCTACCGCAATGGCTACATAGGTGCCGTGCGGGAGCAGGAGAGCACGAGCGACTCGAGGTCGGGAGAGGGTTGCGGTGCTCGCAGCTCGAAAGGAGGAGTCCTGGTCGGCGCGCAGAGCGTTACGTGGTCCAGCTTCGCCGGTAACCCTCAAACACGCCTAGCACGACAAAGTGCGCCGCTTTCGACCGAGGTCTGGTCGCACACGTACGAGAAGACGCTGCGAGAGCTACGAACGACGCACGGACCCCGCAAACGCTTGTACGGGGTGTGTCCGCTTGCTACCCGGCCTCGCTTCAGAAATGGACGGATAGTCAATTCGGTACGGTCGGATAGTGGTTATTCCGGCGGTTTACTACGAGAGCTTGCCTCTGTTGTCTGCCACTGCCCCTCGGGCTCCAGGGTTCAAATCCCTGTCGTACCTCTTCTTTTGCCCCGTAGCGGTCCCCCGATACCCTGTGGTGTCCTCTTTTGCCGCCTACGACCCGTAGAAGGTCGACCGGAAAGTCCGCGGTCGGTCCGGCGACGGTCCGTCCGTCCAGAGGTGGCATCCTTGAAGGCCAGCTCCCTTGCCTCGCCGTACCCTGCTGATGGCTTCCTTTGCTGCAGAGCGACGCCTTTTGACGTTGCAAGACGTCGCGCCCGCCGACTGAAGCAGAGCGGCCGACCAGGGCGACGGTCCGTCCGCGAAAGCCAGACTCTCTCGACGCCAGCTTCCCCTCTTCTCTCTCTGAGCACGAGAGCTCGACAGGTCTATTGAGCGCGACGGCACGGTCACTTCGTCGCCCTCGGGCGCGCCCGGGCCGCCGTGCTGGAGGCCTCGCAGCTGGCAACTCGAGTTGAGAAGGTCGGAAGGAAAGCGTTGGTCGTCCTCAGCTCTCCCCCTTCTGGTCTTTCTCCTGCTCAACGACGGCTCCATCGACAGGACGAGAGACCGGCGCGCTCGGTGGGCAGAGCACACGACAAAGCGGCTGCGGAAAGGTCCGAGCGTCGGCCTTCTCAAGTCGAAAGCGGCCGTGCGGCAACTCTCTCTCTCTGTCCTGCAACTGGATCGCCTCGGCTGCTACACAGACCTGTCGAGTAGCAATCTCTCGGCCTCGAGTCGAGCCCTTCATGCGACAGAAACGAGCGCGACGCAGGTGCGAGGGAACGTGCGGCCGGCGCCACTTTCTCGAGCAAGAGTTACTCTCGCTCGCTCACTGCTCGCGCCGCGCCGCCCCCAGTCCCGGCTCTCGACAGGCTGCGATTGCTGCGACGGTCGGCCTCGAGCGCACCGAGGGCGCAGGAAGTTCGGCGAGGGCAAAGTGGGCGAGGTCGACTCGACGAGGCCGACGGGCGGCGAGCGAGCTACCCGCGTGCTGCTGGAGGAGATGAGCACCAGAAGAGACAAGTGCGCCTGCGAGAAGGCCAGACGAGCGCACCTCGATGCGTCGCGTGCGTGGCGGCCAACCGGGTCGGCCGCCTTCCTGCGCCTGGACGCTCGCCATACCGCGATCTCTCCAGGGCCGTGGCGCACAGCCGCCGAGCCGCCTCGACTGCTGCCTCGCAGACACGGCGCTGCGAAGCGGTGCACCGACGACTGCGTCGCCAAGCAAAGAAGCTCAGAAAGCGTAAAGCGAGAGCAGGGCCGGCTCGACAAGCGTCGAGGGACGCTCGCCTGCGACTCAGAGGACACCCGAGACAGCCTGTCGTACGACCGCTATCCAGCGACAAGCTGCAGGCCGGCAAGTGCGCCTCGCAACGAGCCCGCAGGAGGATTCGAGCCGACTCGCGCGAGGATGGCGGCGGCGAGCATAGTCGCGGCTGCAAGCATGTTTGCGCGCGTAGGTACGACCAACTTGGTGCGGAGCATGCACAGCTCGAGGGGCGGGTGAAGCGAGAGAAGGCGAGCGACGCGAGCGCGAGATGGGGTCGCTCCTCCCTCGACCTCTGCCACCCGCCGCAGCCCCTCGACAGCTTGGCAGTGCTGCACAGAGACTCGAGAACAAGGTCCACCCACCGCCGTGTCGCTCCCGACCGCCCACAGCGCCACCTCTTTCCACCTCCTCCTCACCTCACTCAACCCCGCGTTCGTCCAGCCCGCTCGACCATGCGGCGCTTTCCGGCCCCTCCCTCGCAAGGAGGCCCATCGACACCCTCCTCGAACCGCTCGGCCGAAGCGCCGATGCAGTACGAGTGGGAGCGGCCGCGCCAGTTCCCGGCATCGCCGTTCGCGACTGCCGCACCAGGCGAGGAGGACGAGCCCGCGAGGAAGCGTGCGTCTACTCTCTCTGGCATACTCTCGGATCGATCCTGATGTGATCTCGCACGCGTACTGCAGGAGCGCACTACGAGGCGATGGACGTCGACACGCCCCCTCGCCCCGCCGTCTCGTTCCCTCCCTCGGCCACTGCCCCCGCCAGCGACACCTTCCGCTTCGCCCCACCCGCACCTCCGTCCCTCAGCGAGGCGCCGCACGAGCCGGCGTTCGACGTCGAGGCGTTCAAGCCCAAAGAGGCGTTCGGCCTCCAGGACGACGAGGGCGAGGGCGACGTGTCGATGGCGGCGGCCGATGCCGACGAGGACGGCGTGCCTGCCGACAAGGAGATGCATCTACCCGTCGCCGTGCTCGGTGAGTCGGGAGCGCGCAGGCGCAAGGGCGGGAGGGGCGCGCGCCGCCGCAGCGTGGACGACTCGGGCGCGAGCGACGACGAGGTCGAGCGGCACGGGCACGAGCACGACGGCGATGGAGGGTTCCTCGGCGTGCTTCAGACCACGGCTGGGAGGCGCAAGGGCGACACGCAGTTCAGCTTCCAGGTGCACCACCACCACGGCGCGGCGGGCCACGCCGTCGGCGGCTACGGCTCGCCCGAGGGGCAGCAGCCAGAGCGGTGGATGCGCAAGAGCACGCCTTACGTCCTACTCGGGTGCGTCCGCCTCTCTCTCGCCCATTGTGGCCTTTCTGACCATGGCTCGTCGCCCCGCAGGTACCTCCAGTTCGGCTCGCTCGCCATCCTCGCCGTCATGGTCCTGTCGCTCCTCGCCCTGTTCCTGTTCACGCTCAAGGGCGACATCGACGCCCGGTTCGCTGCCGCCACGCTCGACCTGCGGCGCGACAACATCGAGTGCGCCAAGAAGTTCATGGAGAACGGGTGCCAGGCGGCGACGAGGTTCCCGGCGCTCGAGCAGAGCTGCAACGAGTGGGAGGAGTGCATGCAGCGCGAGGTCGTCGTGCACGGCAAGGCGCGCATCATCGTCGAGACGATCGCCGACCTCGTCAACAGCTTCTTCGAGGTCGTCAGCTTCAAGACCATGGTGAGCCCGCCTTTCTCGCCTCACTCCTCAGCCCGCGGCCCTGACCGACGCCGCTCACGTGCCCACAGTTCTTCATCCTCATGTCGCTCGCCCTGACCGTGTACGCGTCGACGGCGGCGCTGTCGCTGCTCGCGTCTCGAGCGTCGGCCGCCTCGCGTTCCGCCGCCTCGTCGTCGGCGCCGCAGCACTACGGCGGCTACGGCGCAGCACCTCCTCCTCCTCCGGGCTTTGGGTACGGCATGCCGTACGGCGGCGGCGGACAGGGTGCGCCGTGGGTGGTCGAGAGCGGAGGGTGCGAGCGGGACGAGCGGCAGCTCGGGTTGGGTCCGGGGCCAGCGGGTGCCAGGGACGGGCGCAAGTCGTCGTGAGCCGAGGGTGTCGGTGACATGCAGTGCTAGTCTTTGAGCGAGAACCTGAGCTTGTGCGTCGAGAGCGAGCGCGAGTGAGCAGCTGGTCCGGCTCAGGTGGAGCCGCTCGCGCGAAGTCGACGGCCGCCCACCTGCCCGCGGCTCCCCTCCGCGACCACCGCACCCAGGAGCACCGACTGTCGCCCAGCGCCAGCAGCATCCGCTCACGCACCATCTCGGCCGCGCCTGTACCGCAACAGAGCCGCAGCGTCGATAGCTCGGGGCGAGCTCTCCTCCCCCTCCTCCTCTCGGTGAGCTCCTCTTCCTCTTCGTGCACGCGGTGGGGCAGCAGGGTCGCGGCATCGTGGGAATCAGGCGTGCTCTACGGCCGCATCTGAGCTCGCGGCACTCGCTCAGACGGCGAGTGAGCAGCTGCCTCGTCGGGCCGTGCAAGATCACGGCACCCAGCAGCCACCTGCAGCTGTCCTGGCAAGCTGAGAACGGCGTGCGACTGACACTACTTTCCCCATCGGCTCTGCGCAGACCCTGCACCAGCTCTCGCCGCGCGCCGAGCCCTGTCGACCTCTGCGCCAACAGCTCCAACTCGCTCCGCCGCCCGCCGACCTGCGCCAGCGCTCGTCGCATCCACCAGCGAGCTCGTACGCCGCGCACCTCGCCTCGAAAAGGCTCGACACGGCCTGCCGAGCCCACCTCGTCCCGCACGCTCGTCATCTCGACCTCGCGCCAGCCTCGCCGCCGCCGCTCTGAGCGAGCATTCATCCACCGTGCGTCGCCCTCTCCTCGCGCTCGTCGCGACCTGCGAGCAGGAGCACGAGCTAACTACTTGCCCTCGTACCCCTTGTCCCCCTTCACAGACTTCCTCCACCTTTCCTCCGCCAACCTCGCCTCGTCATGGATTCTCCCCTCTCGGAACCCGACTCGCTCTCGTCCCCCGGGGCCACCACCGAGCCCTTGCCCAACTCTGAACCCGACGACCTTCAACTCTCGTCCTCGCCAGTGCCCACCCGCAGGCGGTCCCGCTCGCGCTCCCTCCACGGGCCAGAGCCACGAGCCGGCGCCGGCGCCGGCGGTGGGGCCGAGAGCGACTCGAGCCTCACCGAGCAGAGCGACAGCGAGGTCGAGCCCTCGGCGCTCGACACGGTCGAGGAGGACGATGACCAGACGGAGGAGGCGGCTGGCGGCGCGGCGAGCGAGCTCGGCGACGACGAGCAGGAGGAGGACGACGAGGACGAGCCGGTCCAGCGCACGCCCCGCGGCAACAAGCGCCCGCGCCCGATCGCGCTCGGCGACGGGGACGAGGACGGCGCCGGCGACGAGTTGAGCCGACCCGCACGAAAGCGCGTCGGCTCGCTCTCGGCCAGCGGCGACGAGCTGTCGCCCGCCGCCTCAAACCACAAGGGCGCCGCCGCCACCGCCAAAACCGCCTCGCCACCATCTTCGGCCAAGCGTGCACGTCCAGTCGAGGGCGGCAGCATCGCCTCGAGCTCGGCCTCGACCGTCGGCGCACCTCCAGCGGCGCCTCGACCTGCGCCCGCCGTCGCCGCCACCGCCACCGCCGACGCAGCGGCCGCCTCGAGCGCCGACTCGCTCTCCGAGCTCGAAGACGACGACGACGTCGAGCCGCAGCCGTCTCGACCGGCGCCGAAGCTCAGCTCCGTCCCCGCTGCGGCATCGGCGTCCGACGCCGACGACGACGACGACGACGCGCCCACCCTGTCTGCCTCGCCCAAGGGCAAGAAGTCGGCGCCTCGACCGCGTGGCGGCGGTCGACCTCGCGGGCTCGGCGCGCGCGGCCGCCCTCGAGCGCTCGCGGGCAAGCCGTCGGCGGCGGCGAGGAGCGAGAGCCCGTTGTCGACGGTCGGGTCGTCAGCGGGCGAGGACAAGGTCGAGGCGGACGCCGAGATGGAGGACGCGCCGCTCGTCGAGAACGGGCTGGCGGCAGCCGGCGAGGGCGGGGCGGCGGGACCGGCGCAGGTCGGCGACGAGGCGGCGGTCAAGGAGCTCGAGGTGGAGGCGAGCGCGGTCGAGGCGCTCGCTGCGGCGGCGGCGGGCGCGAGCACGACGTCGTCTGCCCGGCCGTCAGCGGCAAAGGCGCGGGGCAAGGGCAAGGGCAAGAGCAAGGGCAAGGCGGCGGTCAAGGCGGCGGGTGAGACGATGCGCAGGTCGACCTCGGTGCGTCCTCATTCCCTCTCTCCTCCTCCACGTCGGTGCCTCTACTGACTCGAGCGGCCTTGCAGAGCGAGTCGTCCACCCACGCGCCCAAGCACCTCGGCAACGGCACCTCCCCCTCGAACAGCGCCTTCTCGTCCCTCCCCGCTCTTCCCGCACCTTCGGGCCTCGTCGAGCTCGAGACTGCTCCCGACGCCGTCGCCAACCAGCTCGCCGAGCTCGCCGAAGCAGAAGCCGACGTCGCCGCCGACGCAGCAGCGGCGTCCGCCTCGGGAGCCGCCTCGGCCGCAGCACCTGACGACGCGTCGGCGCCGATGGACGGCGTCGAGCCGAGCGACTCGCAGCTCACGCGCGCCGACGGCCTGGACGAGGACCGCACCGACGCCGTCGTCGAGGAGGTCGAGGAGGAGCAGCGGCCGGTGCCGCCGCCGAGCGCCAAGAAGGGCGCGGTCGGAAAGAAGGGCGGCAAGAAGGGCAAGGGCAAGGAGAAGGCGGCGCCGGCGCATGTCGAGGACGGCGAGGAGGACGAGGCAGTTGAGGGCGAGGAGGAGGAGGGTGCGTCCCCTCATCGCCATCCCCTCGATTCTCCTGCCGCACCCAGACTGACCCTGATCCCTCTCCCGCCGCCGCAGACACGTCGGACGACGCCTTCATGCGCAAGCGCGCCGAGGCGATGGAGGCCCTGACCAAGATCGAGATCTCGTTCGCGCGCCTGCGCGACCTGCTCTACCTCGAGCGCCTCGCCGACGTCGAGAAGGAGCGCCTCGCCATCGAGACGGGCGCCCACCCCGAGCTCGTCCACCTCACGCAGCTCATCGAGCTCCGCCGCAACCGCAAGCTCGAGCTCGCCCGCCTGTGGCTCGACGGCCTCGAGAACGCGTACGGCGTCCAGTTCACCGACCGCGAGCACGCCAACTGGAACAGCTGGCAAGACGATCGCGCACGCGAGCGTACCCGCATGCTCGACGAGGCCAACTCGAAGCGCCGGCGACTTGAGCGGGAGAAGCGCGCGCTCGAACGTCCGAAAGACGGTGCGTCCCGCTCCTTCTCCCCCTCGCCCTGCTTCTCGTGCGCGCGCCTCGTACTGACTCGCCTCACCTGCAGACTCGCTCGCCAGCATGCTCGCCCCTCGACCGCCACCCGTCGTCCCGCTCCACCACCGCCGCCGAGTCGGCTTCGACGCCGACCCGCTCGACGACAACGAGATCGCGTGGTCCCTGCGGCATCCAGACGTCCGTGTCGACGCGAGCGTGCGAGGACTGGACGATGAGGCGATGTACGGCGACCTGGAGCGCATGGGCGTGCGTCCCTACTTTCCCTCGGCCCCACACTCGCTCCTCGGCGGGACCTGACCTTCCTCTCCCTCGACAGCTTCGCGAGCCGATGCGGCATCCTCTCTTCCCGTACGACGCCGTCTACGCCCACGCGAGCGGGCTCGGCGGCCCGACCTACGGCGACTCGCGCGGCTACCCGTACGGCGGCGGCTACGACGGCGCGCCTCACGCCATGCAGCACCAGCACCAGCACCAGGGCTTCCCGACCGCCTTCAGCTCGCTGCCACCGCTGCCCCAGCATCAACGCGTCGAGTCGGGCCCGCCGCGGCCGCCGTCCAACCCTCGACTCGCGCAGGGCTTCCCGGCCGAGCTCGGCGGCGGGCAGCCGGGCTACCCGGCGGCGTCGCGCGCGCACGGCAGCGGCCACTACCCGCAGACGTACGCCGAGATCGAGGCGTGGCAGCAGCAGCAGCAGCAGCAGCAGCAGCACCAGTCGCGCCACGGCGGGTTCGACGACGAGCGGCGACGGCGCACCTTGAGCGCCGGCGGCTCGCTCGGTCCGCCCCGCAGCCACGAGTCGCTCGATGCCATCGCCGCGCACCGCCAGAACGGGTACACGCCGGCCGTGTCGAGCGCTGCCGGGCAGGACGGCGACCCGACCGGCGGGCGCACGACGCCGACGCACGCGAGCGCGGCGGCCAAGGCGCGCTTCACGCTCGACGAGCACATGAACACGCGCTCGCCGAAGGGTCCCGCGAGCGTCAGCTCGGTCGCGTCGTCGACGAGCAAAGCGCCGGCGACGACCGGCGTCGGTGCGGCCGCGGCATCTCCGGCATCGGTCGCCGCCGCCGCCGCCGCCGCGCGCAGCAACCCGCCCGCCTTCATGGCCATCCCGACCATCCCTCCCTTCGACCGCAACCGCCACGAGCAGACGATCCGGGCACGAGCGGCGGCCGCAGCGTCGGGCGGCAACTCGGGCGGGAGCAGTCCGGCGCCGCCCGTCCTTCCTCCGCTCAAGCAGCAGCCGACGCCGACCTCGACGCCGCTGTTCGCGCCTCAGCAGCAGGCCAAGCAGCAGCCGGCGCCGACGCAGGCGCAAGGTCAGGGCTCGTTCTCGGCGTACCCTGTGCCGCAGCGAGCGGCGTGAGCGTCGCCGCAGATACCCCTTGCCTCCCCCTCCCCTTTCCCTGCTCGCCCGCCATAGTTATGGAGCCCCGTTGCTGTAGACGCACTTGTTGTACTGCTGGTTAGCTGGTGGACGACGCTCGGATGCAGTGCACCTCTTTGTCCGAGCCGCGCGAGCCGGCCCTTCTCCACTCTCTTCGCCTTCCTCGCTTCGCGCTCGACGGCCTCTCGTTCTTCGACTTCCTCCTCACCCGCCACCGCTGCCGCCATGATCTACGAGTCGCCGCACCCTCCTGTCGACCTGCCCGAGTGCTCCGTGTGGGACAAAGGTGCGCCCGGCTCTTTTCCCCACCTCCACCCGGTCTCTCGAGCTGACCCTCCCCTCGCCCGCCGCGACAGTGTGGGCCAACCCGACGGGCGCGAGCGACACCAAGGACGCCGTCATTGACGGACCGACGGGCCGCAAGCTCAGGTGCGTCCCGCTCGCCTCGACGAGAACCGCGCGAGGGAGGGATGCAGGTCGTCTCGCGTTGCGCACCCTCTCGGGCACCGTCTCGGCTCTTGCAGAGCGTCTACTGACCTCTTGCGCGTCGCTACAGCCGAGGAGAACTGCGCTCGCACGCCCAACGTCTCGCCGAGGGCCTGCGCACCACGGCCTCGCTCTCGCAAGGCGACGTCCTGTGCGTCGTGTCGCCCAACTCGCTCTACTACCACATGCTCGTCCTCGCCAGCCAATGCGCCGGCATCGTCTTCTCGGGCGCCAACGCGTCGTACACGCCGAGTGAGCTCGCCCACCAACTCGAGGATTCGAGCGCTAAGCTGGTGCGTCGCTCCTGCGCCCTCTCTTGTTCTCCTTGTCCCTCTTCCTTAGCGGGCCTCGAGAACTAACTCGTGCGATGCCGGGCGACAGGTTCTCGCCCACCCGCAAGTTCTCAAGACGGTCCTCGCCGCGACCAAGCAGCTCGGCTGGTCCACCTCGGAGCAGCAGCGCCGCATCATCCTCGCCGTCCGCTCTGACGAGGCCGGCCCGGCCTCGAAGCAGCACAAGACGCTCGACTACCTGCTCGCGGACAAGGAGATGCAGCCGGTCAAGGTGCACGACCCGAAAAACACGGTCGCCTACCTCGGTTACTCGAGCGGGACGAGCGGCAAGGCCAAGGGCGTGCGCACGAGCGCCTACAACATGACGGTACGTCCAACAGTCCTCCTGAGGAGCCTGCAACGATAAGGAGATCTGACCTGATCCTCGGTTCGCGCACGCGCAGTCGGTCCTCTCGATCCTCGCCCCGGTCAAGACGTACGAGGACGACGTCCAGCTTGCGGTCCTTCCTCTTAACCGTGCGTCCATCTCTCTCTCATCGAAGAGCGCGACGAGCGAAGAGTGTGTCGTTGCCGAGCAGGACCCTGACGATTCCTCTCGTTCGCGCTCGCAGACATCTACGGCTTGACCAAGGTGCGTCTCGCTCGGGCCGCTCCCTCACCTACCTCGGTAACTGACGAGTTGCGTCACACAGCTCGTGCACTGGCCCGTCCTGTGGGGCAATCCCGTCGTCGTCATGCCCAAGTTCGAGATCCAGGCGCTCTGCTCCCTCGTCCAGCGGTACCGCGGGACCTTCCTCATGCTCGTCCCGCCTATCGCCCTCCAACTCGCTCGCGACCCGATCGTCGACAAGTTCGACATGTCGAGCCTGCGCATCATCATCTCGGGCGCGGCGCCGCTCGGACCCGAGCTCGAGCAGGAGCTGGCGACGAGGTTGCCAAAGGCGACGGTCCTTCAGGCCGTGAGTCGCCTCTTTCTTTTTACGTCTTCCTCGCCGCGAGGTGCGGGCGGGAGCGTCCTCTTGAGGACACCGCCTCGTCGTTTTCCTCGTCGACCTTCCCAAACCCGAAACCTGACTCGCGCTCTCGTCCCTCGCAGTACGGCCTCACCGAGAGCTCGCCGACGACGCACATGGGCATCATCCCGAAGCGTGGCTCGATCGGCCCGCTCCTGCCCATGATGCGCGGCCGGATCGTCGACCCCGAGACGAACAAGGACGTCAAGCAGGGCGAGGTCGGCGAGATGCTGCTCGCAGGCCCGAACATCATGCTTGGCTACCTCAATCGACCCGAGGCGACGGCCGAGACGCTCGTCAAGGACGCGCAGGGCACGACGTGGCTCAAGACGGGCGACATCGCTCGCGTCGACGAGAAGGGTGCGTCTCTCCTTTCCCTCCTCGTCCTCGTCCTCCCTCAAGTACGCGCACTCACTATCCTCCCGCACGCGCACAGGCCTCTTCTACATCACCGACCGCCTGAAGGAGTTGATCAAGGTCAAGGGCTTCCAAGTGCCGCCCGCCGAGCTCGAGGCGGTCCTCCTCGAGTGCCCGTTCGTCGCCGACTGCGCCGTCATCGGTGTGTGGAACGACGACCAGCAGACCGAGTACCCTCGAGCATACGGCGCGTCCTCTCCTCGCCCCTCTTCTCGAGGCCAGGACTGACAACAAAAGCGCTCGCAGTCGTTCTCTCGAGCAAGGGCAAGGCCGAGTCGGACCCGTCGGCGACGATCCAGTCGTGGATGAAGAACAAGGTCGCGCACTACAAGCAGCTCAAGGGGTGCGTCCCTCTTTCTCCCTCGTGCGCTTTCGGTGCGAGCGTGCCCTGACCTCGAGGACCGTGCGCAGAGGCATCAAGCTCGTCGACTCGGTGCCCAAGTCTCCCTCGGGCAAGCTCCTGCGACGAAGTGAGCCCTGCTTCTCTCTCATTCTCTCTCACAGACTCTCACTGACTCTGTCGTGCCCGCTCGCAGTCCTGCGCGAGGAGGCCAAGGCCGAGATCGAGGCGGCGAAGAAGGCGGCGAGCGGGCAGCGGGCGTCGCTCTAGAGTGCGCAACGGGCCTTGTATTGTACAGAAACAGAGACTGCAACTATGCGAGGTACACGACGAGGAACGACAGGAGATAGAGAAAGAGAGAGAGAAAGAGAGAGCGAACGACGAGGGGAAAGAGACGGGCGAACGACGACGGCTAGAACTCCATCGACTGCGCCTTCTCGGCTGCGGGCGATCGACGAGAGCGTCAGTTCCGTCATGCAGAAGATGAGAGAGGCCTGTGGACCGAGACGGGCACTGAGAGAACGAGAGAAAAGAAGGAGCGCACCCTTGACCTCCCTCGCCCTCTCCCTCGCGACGCCCTCTGCGTGCCGCTCAAACAGCTCGACGTACGGCTTGAGGCTCGTCTTGCCCCAGTCGGCCTGCAGGTCGCCCCGGCGCGACAGCTGCTCGAGCTCGAGGAGGAGCTTGCCGACCGTCGGGACCGTGTCCGGGTCGAACGCGTCGATCTGCGACGCGAGGAGCGGGACACAGACCTTGCCTGCGATACAGGGAGAGAGGGGGTCAATGGCTGTGACTTGGCGACCGACGACGAGGGCGAGGGCGAGGGACAGGGCGGCGAGAGAGGGAGGGACGGACCGGTGCCCGGGTGGATGCAGAAGGGCGCCTTGAGCAAGTGGTTGAGCTTGCGCGACACCTCGGTATCGATGCGAGGGTACGTGTACTGGATGATGAGGTCGGTGATGGCCTCCTGGTGCTTGTCCTTGATCTGCGGGTTCGCGAGGAGAGGGTCAGTGCACTCGCTCAGTCCCGCCTCGACGACGACGAGGAGAACGAAAACGACGCTGCGGGGAGGACGGGCGACGTACTCGGGACTTGGTGAGGGCGTTGGCGGAAGGGGCCGATGCCGGGATCTTGACGACGTCCTTCCAGCGCTCGATGGATGACGAGTCGGACCCGGTCGAGAACTGCTTGAGCAGCGACGCGGCGTTCTCTGCGGACAAGTCCAGGCGCAAGCATGAGTTGTGCGCTGCGGAACGCGCACAAAAGATGATGCCGAGAGGCTCGACGCACCCTTGTCGGGCAGCATCGAGAGGACGTTCTCCCACTGCTGCGGGTCGGTGCGGAACACGTCCTGGTCGCCGAGGACGACGCTCGAGAACGCCGACTTGAGCGAGTTGTCGTACGCGCGCCTGTGTGGGCACGTTCGACGTTAGGCGCTGCGACTGAGCTCGTCACGCGCCCCTCCCTCCCTGGGGGAGGAAGAGGAGAGAACAGGGAGGCGACGCACTTGATGCTCGGGTGCATCGGCTTGATGGTCGTCAGGCGCTTGTCCATGGCCGTGTAGCCCTTGACGATGTCGATGTAGCGCACGATGGCGCTGCGCTGCTCGTCGGTGAGGTTGAGCGCCGCCGAGTCGCTGATCCAGGCGTGGATGCCGCGACGACCCGAGTAGACCCACAGGATGTGGACAAAGCCAAAGTCGGCTGCGGAGGAAGGTAGAGTCAGGCTCGTCGGGCGCGGCGAGGCGAGAGTGGGTGCAGAGAGAGAAGGAGACGCACTGCGCAGGATCTCGTCGAGGACCTTGACGGCGACCGTGATGAAGCGCCAGCACCGTTTGCACATCTTCTTGTCCTTGCAGCACGTCCGGATCGAGTCGTCTGTGGATGCGAGACCGGTCAGGGCCGCTCGACGAGGGGGAGCGAGAGCGAGACGAGGGACGACTCGCAGTCGGTCATGTCGATGTCGAACACGAGCTCGCGGGTCAAGGGACGAAAGGCACTCTTCATGAGCGCCTTGCGGTCCTTTGGCTGTCGTCGGGGAGGGGCACATGGGTCAGCGCGTCCTGAGAGGGAGGAAGAGAGAGGACGGCAGGGACGGACCCGGCCAGAGTACATGGGCCCGATCTCGAAGCGGCTCGGGTTGAGGCGCAGGACCTCGCGCTTGAGGTCGTCGGCGGTGGCGAACGACTGGTAGCGGAGGTAGGCCTCATTCTGGAGGGTGAAGGCAAACTCGCGGTGGGTGAACTGGCGGGTCGGGGCTGCGGGTGCGGAGGGCGAGGGTGAGCGTGCGCGGTCCGACAAGTGGGCAGAGAGGAAGAGGACGCACCGTGCGACTGGTTGAGCCACAGGAACATGGCCTTCCAGGGGAGGAGGCGGCTGTAGTAGGTGCGCATGACCATAGGGTTGCTGAGGTCGCCCATGCTCTCCTCGGTGGCGTTGTCGAGCTGCGGGAGCATGGCGGCAAGCTTGTCGTCCTTGAAGAGGTCATCGAGGGCTGTTGCGCAGGGTACAAGAGGGTGAGCGAGATGAGCGAGGCAGGAGGAGGACGAGGAGGAGGAGAGGGTGGGACGGACCAGGGCCTGCGAGGGCGGCTGCCGAGGATGGCGGTGCAGCGTCGAGGTCCATGTTGACCATGGTGGGCGTGCACAGCAGGTGTACAGGCGAGAGCGAGCGGACGAAGCGAGAGCGAGAGCCGCGAGTCGACGCGATCCACTTTGACCGCCCGAGTCGCTCCCTCTGCTCTCGCTTGCTGGAGGTGGTGGACAGAGGACTCAGTCGGCGACATAGTCAGACGCGTGCTCATCTCGGCAGCTTTGCACGAGAGGGCGAGGGCGAGTTTGCGTCGCCATCGCCCGGCCCTCGTCCGCCTCGTCGCCTCGCTCCTCTCCCTGTCTGCGTCCAGCACTCTCCCCCGCTCAAGGCGGGCCCAGTGCACCCAGGTGCGACTTCAACGTTTCAACACTCGCCAGGTGCGCCCTCGCCCACTCCATCCCCTCACCCACGCCCGCACTGATCCCTCCTTGTTCCCCCTCCCCCTCGTCGCTCAACCCCTCGTCTCCCCGCCCGCGCCACAACCCTGCGACTGCTGCAGATCAGTGTCCTTCATCCAGCACACCGCCGAGACCGACTTTCGCCACCCGCCGACACCACCACCCGCCGCTTCCCTCGGCAAACAATCGTCCGCGCCTTGCACCAACCTCGACCACCCGCACTCGACACCTCGTCGGCCTCTTGCACCTGCGCTCGCCCCCGTCAAGGCTGCACAACACCTTCACGAACAAGACGCGACCACCCAGGCGAGACTGCAAGAACATCCGGTGAGTCTCGCGCTGTCAACATGTCGACGCTCGCTCGCGCACTCGTGCGCGAGCAGCTTTGTGCGGACGTCCGACGACGAGCAACACACTGACAAACACGCACGCGCGCCTACAGCACCGCGACCGCCGGCACCATGACGACCCGTAACGGCGACCCGCCCGCCTCGCCGTCCGCCTCAATCCACTCGTTCCTCACCGAGGACCCGTACCACTCGGGCTCGCCACGCACCTCGTCCCGCATGTCTTCCCTCCCGCCACACCTCGCCGGCGCCGACCTCAACAGCGACGACGCCCACCTCACCCAGTCGTCGCTCCTGAACCGCCTCGAGTCGCTCCTGCGCGCCAAGGCCGAGGAGGTCCAGCTCGCCGGCCAGCTCGGCCAGGCCCTCCTGTCGCAGCAGCAAGAGCTCGAGGGCCGCATCCGCGACATCGCCGAGGTCGCGACCCGGTACGCCGACCGCCAGTCGGCGTCGTCGAGCTCGTCGGCCGCGGCGCGCAGCACCGGCGGCGGCGGCGGCGGCGAGAGCAGCGACGAGAGCGAGGCGCGCGAGGTCGGCGACGAGACCAAGAAGAGCCTGCGCGCGCTCGAGGAGGAGCTCGAGCGGTGGGAGAGCGGCAACCAGGACCTGTACCAGGTCGTCGGCACGGCCGCCGCTCGCGGCGTTCCGGCCCTCGACCACGCCGCAGCGTCGTCCGCCGCCGCCGACGGGCACTCGGTCCCGTCCGCTCGTCCTCGTGCGCCGAGCCTTTCGCTCGGCAAGCGGCCCTCGATAGCCGACCTCGCCGCGTCGACCTCGAACGTGTCGATCGCGTCCGCCTCGTCAACGACGCCCGCGCTCGACGCGTCGTCGTCCCGCCGCGCGCGCAACACGGCGCAGCACCGCACCAACGACATCGAGCTGGCCACCGAGATTGGCCAGAGCCTCCTCGTCGAGGTGAGGCGCCTCCAGGCGCTCCTCCAGGAGAAGGACGAGCACGTTCGCGCCGTCGAGCGCGAGCGCGACGGCATGGCGCACGAGGCCGAGCAGGCCATGGCGCAGAAGAAGCAGGTCGAGGAGGCGTCCGGTGCGTCCACCCTCTCCCTCTCTCCTTCCCGCCCTCTCTCCCTCTTTTCCTCTTTTCCTCTCCTTCTCAGACGTACACGGGAAACATCGTCACTCACTCGTCTTCTCTCTCGCAGAGCGCTTCAAGGAGGTCAACTGGGAGCTCGAGCTCGCGTCGCAGGACTTGCGCACGGCCCTCTCGACGGCCCAGTCGTCGCTCCAGAAGGCCGAGGTCGAGCGCGCCCGTCACGCCAAGGACCTCGCCTCGACGCGCGACGCCCTCGACCTGCAGCGCCTCGAGTCGGAGCGCGTCGCCAAGGAGCTCGAGAACCTCAAGAGCAAGCACGAGACCGACATGGCCAACATGCGCAAGGCGCAGGCCGGCCTCCAGCGCGACAAGAGCGACCTCCAGGGCTCGCTCGAGGGCCTCAAGAGCGAGCTCGCGACCCGTGCGCGCGCCATCCGTCGTGGCGCCGGCGGTTCGCCCGCCCCGGGCACGCCTGGGTACCGCGGTCCCGGCGCGACGGGCGACGACGACGACGACGGCTTCGCGCCGCTCGACGACGACGACGTCTTCCGCTCGACGGCGCGCCGTCGCACGGGCGAGGGCTTCCCGTCGTCGGCCATGGCCGGCGACAACCACGACCCGTTCGGCGCCGGCGACTCGCCCTCGGCGTCGCCGATCCAGCGCTCCGGCTTCGCGACCGAGGGCGACGCGCTCCGAGCGAGCCTCGCCCACGCGCAGCGCCAGCTCTCGACGCTGCGCACGAGCCTGCAGCGCGAGAAGCAGGCCAAGATGGAGCTCCGGCGGCAGCTCGTCGGCGGCGAGGCGACCAAGGGCGGCGCGCGCGGCGACAAGGTGTGGGGCGACGACCCGCTCGACGGGAGCGACTCGGACGACGACGGCGACGAGGGCGACAGCTTCGCGACCGAGGAGAGCGACTCGGACGCTCTCGCCGTCCCGGGCAGCGGTCGCACGCCCGCTCGCCAGCCGGTCGTCGCAGACTGGCCCAGGTCGGCGCGCGGCTCGGCTCGCGGCTCGGCTCGCGGTCGTGGCTCGGCCATGCGTCGCGGCGGCGGCGGCGGCGGAGTGCGCGTCCCCTCGCGCCTCGCACGAGCCTTTGCCGAGGGCGACGGCTCAGACGTCTCGACCGACGAGGCCGCCTCGCCTGCCGCCCTCGGCGCGTCGCACGGCGCGGCCGACGACTCGCTCGACGGCCACGACGACGCCTCGATCTTCGAGCACCGCTTCGGCCAGCCCGGCCTGCACTCGGACGGCGACGCGTCGTTCGAGGTCGACTCGCCGACGCGCAACCTCGGCTCGAGCATCCTCGGCCGCTCGCAAGCCTCGATGGCCTCTCGCCGCGAGCGCGCCATGTCGGCCGAGACGGACGACAGCCGCACCTCGTTCGACGGCGCCGTGCCGACGAGCCTCGGCGACATGCTCGGCGACGACCACCACTCGCTCCTCGCGTCGTCGCAGCGCCACCACCGCCCGGGCAGCATCGGCTCGCTCGCGTCGATCCTCGGGCGCTCGCGTGCGCAGAGCGACCGCTTCGACGCCGTCTCGGAGGAGGGTCACGCCGCCAACGACGACCACGACCACGACCGCGCCGCCAACGACGACCACGACCACGACCGCCGCCAGTACCTCGACGACGAGACCCGCACGCCCGCCGCGGGCTCGCCCACCTCGACCTCGACCCGCCCCGCCACCGCCACGACGGCCGCACCCGCACCTGCACCCGTCCCGGTCGTCAGCTGGAGCGACAAGTCGACGGCGACCGACTTCCCTGAGCCCGAGCCTCGCGAGCGCGTCGTCGAGCGCGAGGTTCGCGTCGAGGTGCCCGTCGACCGCATCGTCGAGGTGCCCGTCGAGCGCGAGGTCCGGGTCGAGGTGCCGGTCGACCGCATCGTCGAGCGCGAGGTGCGCGTCGAGGTGCCCGTCGACCGCATCGTCGAGGTGCCCGTCGAGCGCGAGGTTCGTGTCGAGGTGCCGGTCGACCGCATCGTCGAGCGCGAGGTGCGCGTCGAGGTGCCGGTCGACCGCATCGTCGAGCGCGAGGTGCGCGTCGAGGTGCCCGTCGACCGCATCGTCGAGGTGCCCGTCGAGCGCGAGGTCCGGGTCGAGGTGCCGGTCGACCGCATCGTCGAGCGCGAGGTGCGCGTCGAGGTGCCCGTCGACCGCATCGTCGAGGTGCCCGTCGAGCGCGAGGTTCGTGTCGAGGTGCCGGTCGACCGCATCGTCGAGCGCGAGGTGCGCGTCGAGGTGCCCGTCGACCGCATCGTCGAGGTGCCCGTCGAGCGCGAGGTTCGTGTCGAGGTGCCGGTCGACCGCATCGTCGAGCGCGAGGTGCGCGTCGAGGTGCCCGTCGACCGCATCGTCGAGGTGCCCGTCGAGCGCGAGGTGCGCGTCGAGGTGCCCGTCGACCGCATCGTCGAGCGCGAGGTTCGTGTCGAGGTGCCGGTCGACCGCATCGTCGAGCGCGAGGTTCGCGTCGAGGTGCCCGTCGATCGTGTCGTCGAGGTGCCGGTCGAGGTCATCAAGCACGTCGTCCAGGAGGTCGAGGTCGTCAAGGAGGTCCAAGTCCCGGCTCCTCGACCCGCCATGGCCGACGCCGGCGTCCAAGCCGCCTTCGACCTCGTCTCGCCGACGCCTGTACCCGCCGCCGTCGCCCGCATGGAGGCCCGTGCGCTCCCGCACCAAGCGTCGCTGTCCAACCTCACCGAGCGCGGCTCGTTCGCGCACCCGGAGCGCGACCAGACCATCTCGTCCTTCGCCCAGCTCCAGGGTCTACGCTCGCCAGCTCGCGCTCGCGGCGCACCGAGCGAGTCGTCCGAGGACGATGCGCGCTCCGAGGCGACCGACCGTGGCGCGCCGAGCCGCCAGACCTTCTACACCGACACCGAGCTCGACTACGAGGACGCGCGCGAGTCGCTCGGCGGTGCCACGTCGTCGCTCGCCGGCGGCCGTCCCTCGTTCGCCACGGCTCCTCGCGCATCGTTCTCGGACAGCAACCCGTCGCGCTCGACCTCGATCAACGACTTTGTCTCGGTCCGGTCGGGCCGCACGACGGCCTTTGGCGACGAGGCCGACAGCGAGGTCGAGGTCCTGTCGGGTACCGACGGCGAGCAAGACGGCGGCGACGACGACGACGACCTGGACGACACGAGGGCGTTCCGCAGGACGCTGCGCGGCCGTCCCGCCGACTTTGCGCTCGCGCCGGCGGCGCCCGAGGTCGTCGAGTTCGAGACGCAGACGGAGCAGTGGGCGCCCGAGCCTCGCGTCGTCACGGTCTACGTCGACAAGGTCGTGCACGTGGATCGCCCGATCGAGCGCATCGTCTACGTCGACAAGCCGTACGAGGTCGAGAAGGTCGTCTACCGCGACCGCCCCGTCGTCACCGAGAAGATCGTGCGCGTCGAGGTGGACCGCCCCGTCGTCGTCGAAAAGGTCGTCGAGAAGGTCGTCGAGAAGATCGTATACGTAGACCGGCCCATCCCGACACCGGCCCGTCCTCAAGCCGACCGTCGCCCAGCCGACCGCGATGTCGGCGACCACGACGACGACGACGACGAGGAGCTCGACATCTCGGCCGCAACGGCGACGGCCTTCCTCGGCGACGGCGACGACTCGAGGCCGGTCACGCCGTCGCCCATCGGCGGCAGCGGCTCGTCCTCGTTCTTCCCCTCGGCGCCGTCGACCGCCGCCAAGGACGGCAAGGGCAAGGCCAAGGAGGTCCTCATGGGTCCGCCGCCGCTCCCGACCTCGCGCAGGACGCCTGCGAGCCGCAAGAGCGCCTCGATCGCCTCGACCAAGTCGCTTCGCCAACTTCCTCCCTCTCGCCCGACCTCGCCTCCTCCTGCCGACCTCCTCAACCGCGCCCAGTCGCCCGCATTCGACGCCGAGTACTCGCGCCGCACCTCGACCTTCCTTCTCGCGCCGCCCATCCCGTCGTCCGCCGCACCGACCCTGCGCTCGCAAGCGTCGGGCATCTCGTCGGCGGGCGCGACGCCGCGCAGTGCGCGCCTCTCGCGCCAGCAGCTGTCGCAGCAGTCGACGTCTGCGCGCTCGGTCTCGGAGATGAGCATGCGCAGCGACGCCTCGCGCCGCCTGTCGATGGCGAGCGAGGCGACGAGCGACGGCGGGTACGACCTCGCCGGCGCACCGCCCGTCCCGGGCTCGACCGGCGCAGCAGGTGCAGCCGGCCCGGCGTCGACGGACCCCGAGGTCATCCACTCGATCACGCAGACCATGATCGGCGAGTTCCTGCACAAGTACACGCGCCGCAGGGTCGGCAAGGGCATGTCGGACAAGCGGCACAAGCGCTTCGTCTGGCTCCACCCGTACTCGCGCACCCTGTACTGGAGCTCGTCCGACCCGGGCGCGCACACGACCAACTACGCAGCGGCCAAGAGCGGTTCGTCCTCTCCTCCTCCCTCGCTTTCCCTCCCCTCGGCCTCCCTTCCCTCGTCCTGACACAGACTCTCCTCTCTCTTCGTCCTCGCTCGCAGCACACATCGAGGGCGTCCGCCAGGTCCTCGACCCGAACCCGATGCCGCCCGGCCTGCACCAGCACTCGCTCGTCATCAAGACGCGCGACCGCGACATCGCCTTCACGGCCTCGAGCAAGGAGCGCCACGACCTGTGGTACAACGCCGTTCAGTACCTCCTCTCGCGCCCAGACGGCGTTGGCGGCTCGACCTCGTCGACGACCGCAGCTTCGGCGGCGGCGGCGGCTTCCGCGACGCCGACTGCCCGCCGCACGCGCTCGAGGACCCTCGCCGGCGACGAGCCGAGCAGCAGCTTCGGCCTCGAGAGCGACCAGCTGTACTCGCTCGGCGTCGCCGCGAGCGCGTCCGACTCGCGGCTCACGCCGAGGGCGCGCCAGCCGTACCACTCGCAGACGCTGCCCGCCAAGAGCTCGCGGCCTCTCGCCGCCGCCGCCGCCGGCTCCGCCAACTCGCACGACCGTCGTCGCGCGAGCGGCATCCTCCTCGGCACGCCTCGCTCGTTGCGGTCGTTCGGCGGTCGCCCGATCCACGACGAGGACAGCAGCCTCGAGGTCGTCGACCGCAACGACATCCCGCACGGCTTCTACGAGCACGAGCACGACCATGGCGACGACGAGGGCTTCGAGGGCCTCGAGAACCTGCGCTCGTGCTGCGACGGCGCTCACGACGGTGCGTCCCCGTCGATTTCCTCTTTCTCCTCCGAGCGCCCCTCACTGACTCGGGTTCTCTCTTGCAGTCGGCTCTCTCTCTCGTCACCGCCATCACCGCCACTCGCAGTCGGGACGCTCGAGGTCGGACGGCGGCGATTCTACCCGTTCGACGACGCCGGCGCCGCGGTCCAAGTCGTCGAGCAACACGCTCGGGTCGCTCTCGCGCAAGATGGGCCGGCTCACGACGCCGCGCAAGTCGGTCTCGTCGGTCTCGACGCCGTCAAACGCTCGACCGCTCGAGGCGATCGAGAACACGGGTGCAAGTCGCCGTTAGAGCCCTCGTCGTCGCTTCTTCTCCCTCGCCCTCTCTCTCGCCCTCTCTCCCTCTCCTCCTCTCTTCCCCTTCGTTTTCCCTTTCTTGAACCCTTTGAAATCGTGGCGCCCGTCGAGGCAGCCCTGAATAGTCTTTGCGCCTCGTCTCCTCTTGTAGATCCTCTCCTCTCTCTATCTCCTTCCTGCGATCGCAAGGTCCCGTTTTCCCATCTCAGCCTCGCGTGTGCTTTCGAATGCTCTGAGCGACGACCGGGAGGAGAGAACGGACAAGCGAGTGGATTGCAGAGCGAGGACGAGAGTCCTTTTCGCGATCAAGAGAGAACGGGAGGCTACAAAGGGGGCGAGGCCCGTGCACGAAGGGGTGAAGGAGGCTCTGTACAAAGAGAGGAGGGAAGAGAGAGAAGAGAGGCTCGAGAGCTTGACGCCCGACTTCGTCGACGTCGAGCGGCTCGGGAGCGCCTCAGGCCGCCGACATGCGCGCGAGGAGCTTGCCGACCTTCTTGGCCTCGAGCTTGGAGAAGCCAAAGCCCGACGCCTCGGCGAGGGCGCGCAGGTGCTTGTCGTGCGACGGCGGCGGCGGGAGGAGGAACTGGGTGCCGAGAACCTGTGGGCGCGACGAGAGGGAAGGAAGAAAGGCGACGAGGAAAAGGGGGTCCGTGCGTCAGTCGCTGTTTCGATCGGGCGCGACGGCGCACGCTCGAGAGAGTGCTCTCGCCGCCGAGAGGACAGGGGGAGAGACAGAGAGAGACAGAGGGGACGTACGTGCACAGCGCCGGCGCGCACGGGCAGGTCCGTGTACGCGACCTTGACCGGGTGCGGCCTCGGCGGGCCGTCGTGCTCGTGGCCGCAACCAAAGCGGCGGTACGGCGCCGAGACGTTGTCGTCGTGCTCGTGGTCGTGCTTGTGGTCGTGATGGTCGTGGTCGTGGTGCGGCGGGAGCGAGGGGAAGATGATGATCTCGCGCCTGCAAGGACGAGGTTGAAGGTCAGGGCTGGCTTCAGGAGTCGGAAGATCGAGGCTATCGCGTCTTCAGACATAGAGAAAGAGAGAACGGGACACGACGAGAGAGTAGAGGACGCACCTGACCGGGCCCTTGCCGAGGAAGCGGTGCGAGATGACGGCGACCTTGAGCGTCGCGTTCGGGTTGATCTCGGTGAGGAGCGTCGGGAGGACGTAGTGCGTCACGTTGGCGCGGCCGTACGGCGGGTGCTCCGGCGCGTAAGGCGGCGGGCCCTCGAAGCGGCCGTGCTCGGCGGGAACGAGCCACGTCATGGGCACCTCGACGTCGACCTCGGTCTTGACGGCGTACTGGGCGACGACGTCGGCCGACGAACCGTTCTTGACGTAGTCGCTGAAGAAGACGAGGTCGGGCACGACGTGGTAGCCGAGGAGGTACTTGAGGACCCGCTTGGCGAACGGGAACGGCGAGTGGAGGAACGCCGCCACCTTGAGCGGCAAGCGCGCGAACGCGAAGTTGGACGGGACGAAGACGGTAAAGTCCTTGTCCTTGTGCTCGTCGGTGAGCTCGGCGAGGAGGTCGTCAAAGTCGAGGTCCGACAGGTCGCCCGACAGGAGCGCGTCGTCGGCCGAGGCCTGCGCGAGGAGCGAGTCGTCGCCCTTGTGCGTCATCTCGACCTTTTGCGCCGCGTTGGTGAACAGGCCGAAAAACTTGGGCGCGAGGAAGAGCTGGTTGACCGGGCCGAACGGCGGCAGGAGAGGCTCGCCGATGAGGTGAATGACGCCGTTGCGGGCGAGGATGGTCGGGCCGCGCTTGTGGGCGTACGAGTTGAACTTGAGCGACGGGTGCGGGTACGGGTACAGGTCGAGGGTCGGCTCGACGCGGACGCGGCTCTCCTCGACCAGGGTCGGGAGGGTCGAGCGGTCGGCGAGCTCGTGGGCGTGCCACTTGCCCTTGAAGACATGGTCTGCGGGACCGCGTAGCGTGTCAGTCAGACGACGAGGATGTCGGCAGGGAAAGGAGAGAGCGAAAAGGGCGACGCACACTTGCCGACGTAGGCGATGATTTTCTTAAGGATGCGCTTCTTCTCGTCGTCGTCCTCGTCGTCGCTGTCGGCGAGCTTGGCGAGCTTCTTGGGCGACAGCTCGCGCGAGTGGAATGGGTGCGGGGCAGCCGCCGTCAAGTCGAACAGGGCCGACGAGCCGTCGCGAGCGGCGTCGCCGAGGTTGGCGAATTTGCCGCCCGGGTCCTTGCGCTTGTGCGGGTTCTGCAGGGCGTGGTTGTCCGGCGCGAGGAGCGTGATGTCTGCGAGAAGAGCAGAGGATGCGCAGTGCGCAGTCAGCGTCGGCGCAGTCGAGGTTACCGGGTGGGAGAGGGAAAGGGAAACAGGGCGACGCACCGTCCTTCTCGAGGAGGGCGGCCGCCTCGGGGCTAAAGTTGATGAGCCACGCGAGGTGGTTGAGCGGGAGGTGCTCGGGCGACGGGTGGTGCTCGCTGTCGTCGCCCTCATCGCCGCCGAGAGCGAGGCCCTTGCGGAGCTTGCGAGCGAACGCGGCGCCGTCAAAGTGGTCGGGCTCGTGGTGGGGCTTCTTGTAGGTGGCGTTGACGATCTCGAGGATGGTGTACTTGGTAAAGTCGAGGACGGGAGGCGGGAGCGGGTGGTGAGGCGGGTGCGGGAGGGCCTTGACCTCGTCGACGACCTGGCCGAGGGCGTGCTTGAGCGAGTCGGTGAGCGAGTTCTCGACGGCGATGAAGTCGTCGACCGAGAGGTCGGGGAGAACGCGGTCGTGGTGGTGGTGCTGCTGCTGCTGCTGCTGCGAAGCTGGCTCGAGTGGGGCGGCGAGGCGGTCGCCCGCGGGCTGGAGGACGAAGGGGGGAGCGGCGAGGGCGGTGGTCGCGAGGAGCGACAGGGCCGACACGAGGGTGGGCCTCATGGTAGCGGCTGCTAGGAGTGGTGGAGAGAAGGGAAGCGAGCCCTGCCGGGAGACGGTGTCGTCGTCGTCGCAGCCTCGGCACCTCGGTCGTCTCTCGCGGATCGCACCTCGCTCCTTGCGCCGGCCCGTGCCCCTTGTGCGCAGCCTCGATCTACGAGCCCGCCCTTGTCCGCACTTGTCCCCGGCTGTGCCACTGCTGCGCTGCCTGCGCTCCTCGCCCTCGGGCCAATCGCAGCGCCTCATCTCTCCGCGCGCCGCCTCGGCCGTCCACTCTCTCTCTCGCTCGAGGGTCCACGTGCATGGAGTGGGGCAGGGCATGGACCATGGTTATCTCGGACACGCGTCGCCAACCTCGCAGATTCGTCGCTCGCTGAACATCGCGTACGTCTCCCCTCTCCTCTCCTCCTGCCCCCGACTTTCACCCTCAGTAGCCACTCAGACTGACTGTACTTGCGCCCTGCACAGCCTCGTGTCCGACTACTTCTATCCCAAGGCCGGCGGCGTCGAGAGCCACATCTACGCCGTCGCTCAGTCCCTCGCCAAGCGCGACCATCGTGTGCGCACCCTCTCTCCCTCCCTCCCACGGACCGGCTCGATCCCGCAGAGTTGACGTACAGAACCCTCACACAGGTTGTCGTCGTCACGCATGCGTACCCGCCTCGAAACGGCGTACGCTGGCTGCCCAACGGCGTCAAGGTCTACTACATCCCCGTCCAGCCGCTTCCTCCCACCCACGTCCACGCGACCTTGCCCAACTTCTTCACCGCCATCCCGCACCTTCGCTCCATCTTTGTGCGCGAGTCGATCGACATCGTGCACGCGCACGCCTCGCTCAGCGCGCTCGGCATGGAGGCCATCATGCACGCACGCGCCATGGGCATTCGCGCCGTCTTTACCGACCACTCGCTGTTCGGGCTCGGCAACATGGCCGAGATCTGGGGCAACAAGATGCTCAAGGGCTGCCTCAGCGACGTCGAGGCCGTCATCTGCGTCTCGCACACCGGGTCCGTCCTCTCTCTTCAACATCGCCCTTTCTTCCGCCTCGTTCCCGCTCTGACTCTCCTCGCGCACGCTCACAGCAAGGAGAACACGGTCCTTCGAGGCGCCCTCAACCCGTCCATCGTTCACGTCATCCCCAACGCCGTCGTCGCCTCGCAGTTCCGCCCTGCCGAGCCCGTTCCTCCAGTACCCGACATCTGTGCGTCGCACGTCCTCCTCTCGCCGCAAATCTTATGATGTGATACTGACGGTCGAGGCCGTTTTCGCAGTGAACATCGTGTGCATCTCGCGCCTCGTGTACCGCAAGGGCATCGACCTCCTCATCGCGGCGCTGCCCAAAGTCTGCGCCCTGCACTCGGACGTGCGCTTCCTCATCGGTGCGTCTCTCTCTCACCTCCGTCCCCTCTCGTTCGCGCAAAGAGCCTGACCCTCCTCGTCGCGCAGGAGGAGACGGGCCCAAGATTGTCGAGCTCGACCAGATGCGCGACAAGTACCAGACGCTTCTGCGCGACCGAGTCGACCTCCTCGGCCCAGTCAAGCACGAGGAAGTGCGCGGTGTGCGTCTACCTCTTCCTCTTTCCCTCAGTCGAGCGCTCACCGCCCCCCACTCGACCGCGCCGCAGCTTCTCGCCCGCGCCCAGATCTTCCTCAACCCGTCGCTCACCGAGGCGTTCGGGATCGGCATCCTCGAGGCGGCGTGTGCGGGCCTGTTCGTCGTCTCGACGCGCGTCGGCGGCGTGCCCGAGGTGCTGCCGCCGGGGCTCGTCGAGTTTGCCGAGCCGGACGTCGACGGTGCGTCGCTCGCTCTCTCTCTTGTCTGCCGCAGCGGCGCTCTCGTTGCCGTCGCAGTACTCATACAGGACTGCGTCCGCCGCAGACCTCGTGCGGGCCATCTCGCGCGCCATCACGCACGTGCGCTCGGGCGCGCACGACCCGCTCGCGGCGCACGCCCAGCTCGCGACCGTCTACTCGTGGAACGACGTCGCCGAGCGCACCGAGCGCGTGTACCACGCCGCCATGGACGTGCCGAGGGTACCTGTCGTCGAGCGGCTGCGCAGTGCGTCTCGGGCCCTTTCCCTCTGTCCCCTCCCGCACCCTCGCTCGAGCCTCGGATTGACCTCTCGCGTGCGGTCGACAGGTACTACGGGACGGGCGCCGTGTTTGGCAAGATTATGTGCATCATCGTCATGG